TCGGTCTGCGCGCATACGAGTTTGCGGCAGTCGGGCATGCACGTAACGGCGCTGTGCGGGCATGGGGTGCCACACGCTGACGCCTGGTGGTCGTGCACCCGAGTCACTCGCGCGGGTGGCCGTGAGCGTGCTTGCTGCGGTGCCCATAGCAGCGCCCGTGGTGGTGCCCATAGCAGTGCCCATAGCAGGGCCCGTAGCAGTGCCCCATAGCAGTGCCCATTGTGGTCACCACAGCAGTGCCCATAGCAGAGCCCGTGGTGGTGCCCGTGGTGGTACCCGTGGTGGTGCCCATAGCAGTGCCCATGGTGGTGCCCACAGCAGCACGCATAGCAGTGCCCATAGCAGTGCCCATGGCAGTGCCCACAAACTCATATGTAGCTGTTCCCATGGTGGTGCCCACAGTGGTGCCCGTGGTGGTGCCCATAGCGGTGCCCGTGGTGGTGCCCATAGCGGTGCCCACAGCGGTGCCCATAGCAGTGCTCATTGCCATCACCATGGTCGTGCCCGTTGTGGTCACTATAGCAGTGCCCATAGCAGTGCCCATAGCAGTGCTTATTGCCATCACCATAGTTGTGCCCATGGTGGTCACCATAGCAGTGCCCATGGTGGTGCCCACAGTGGTGCCCATGGTGGTGCCCACAGCAGTGCCCACAGTGGTACCCATAGCAGTGCTCATTGCCATCACCATAGCCGTGTCCATGGTGGTCACTATAGCAGCGCCCATGGTGGTGCCCATCACAGTGCTCGTAGCAGTACCCCACAGCGGTGCCCATTGTGGTCACCATAGCAGTGCCCACAGTGGTGCCCACAGTGGTGCCCATTGCAGTGCTTGTAGCAGTGAGCGTGGCATTGCCCTGCCCCTCACCCAGCAGGAGGTGTGACAGCGCCAAGGCCACGTTGATGGGTGAGAAGAGCAGGTTGGAGCCAGGGTCGGTGGCCTCTGCCATCCGCTGGTAGAAGCGCAGGGCAAAGGTGCTCAGCGCCTCAGCCACCGCAGCTGTCTGTGCCCCTGTGGGTGCCCCACAGGCCTCAGCCGGCTCCTCGTCCCCTGGGCACGGTGGGGCAGTCGTGCCTGGGGCGCTGGTGGGCCCCTCCGTGGTTGTGGGCACAGGTGCTGCTGTGGTCCTGCTGGCCAGGGTGACTGCATCCTCGGGCGGCCCCTCCGGCTCCGTGGGGCTGGGGTGGGTGCTTGCTGGCCCCGTGGCCCCCTCTGTGCCCGGGCTGGGACTCTCCGTGACGTTGAGGGCTGCAGCCAAGCTGGGCACCGTTTCGGGGTGGGCTTCGGTCCCAGGTAGAGGTGGGCTTGTCGTCCCAGTGTCCTCCTCTGTGGGACTCTCCGTGACGTTGAGGGCTGCAGCCAAGCTGGGCACCGTTTCGGGGTGGGCTTCGGTCCCAGGTAGAGGTGGGCTTGTCGTCCCAGTGTCCTCCTCTGTGCCCGGGCGGTCGGCAGGGGGTGGCACCAGCTGCACCGGCTGCAGTTTGGTCAGCTTCAGCCCTTGGGGAGAGGCCTCCAGCACAGGGCCCTGGAGGGTGCTGGGTGCAGAGACCCTGGGTGAGGGTGGTCAGGGGTCCCTGGGTGCAGACACCCCAGGTGAGGGTAGGCAAGGGGGCCCAGGGTGCCCCTGTGTCCGCAGGGCAGCACTTACCGGGGTGACGGATGCTGCGGCCACAGCGGCCAAGCACGCCAAGGGCAGCCAGAGCTTCATGGTGGACGTCCTGGTGGGTAACACAGGTCAGGGTCCAGCTGGACACCCTGGGGGGCCCAGCACCACCCACGGGGACTCAGCAACCCCTGCTCCCCGTCCCCAGCATCCCCCCTCCCCCTTCCCAGGGAGGTTGGGGCAGGGGCAGGAGGAGGAGGACCCCCCCCGGGCCCACCTAAGTGCCCGGCAGCAGGTCAGGTCCCTGTGTGTCCGCCCGGGAGCAGAGGGGAACTGGCCTGACGAACTGGCCAGACGCGGCCCAATGTGGTTACAGATTAAGGAGGGCGGGGG